TATCCTTCAAAAATCTCCCAAAATGGCCAACCATGGAGGAAATGAGCCTTACAATCACGGACAAGACGAGTTAAAAACATTCTGCCCAGGCCTTAATTTCCTTCTTCGCCAACGCGGTCAAACCCTCGCATTCGCGAAGCACAAACTTACTTTGACCAACTTTTCCTCTATGCGAAAACGACATGACCATCGCAAATGCAATGCTTCCTCTACCTTACCCTTCGCGAACGCGCTCACCCTTCCGCGAACGCGATGACCACTTGACCTCGAACTCATCTGACCCAAATTTCTCTATGCGATCGCGAAGACCTTCTCGCGAACGCGATGCACCACTTCCCATCCCTTCTCGCGAATGCGAAGGCTTAATCCTTTCCTTCCTCCAATGCCTCTTCGTGAACGCGAGGCTCCACTCGTGAATGCGAAGGGTAAAAACTCTGCAACAGCTGAATAGATTTTCTGCAATTTCCTAACTCCAAAAATGATCTGATAGACCACCCGAAACTCACCCGAGGCCCCCGAGACCTCAACCAAAGGCATCAACACATCCTAAAACCTTATTCAAACTTGTTCCAATCATCAAAACACCTCAAACAACATCAAATCATCCTGAACAAATCGGATTCAAGCCTAAATTTCTAAAATCTTCGGAAATACGCTTTTGAACAAAACCCCAACCAAACCACATTCTAATGACCTGAAATTTTACACACACATCCCAAATGACACAACGAAGCTACTGCAACTCTCGGAATTCCATTCCTACCTCTATATCAAAATCTCGCATATCAACCGAAAATCGCTAAAATCTCAACTTCGCCAATTCAAGCTTAAATCTACTACGAACCTCCAAAATTCATTCTAATCACGCTCCTAAGTCACAAATCACCTCCCAAAGCTAAACGAACCATCGAAACTCACAACCGAGCCCTCTAACACATAAGCCAACATTAGATTGACTTTTCCAACTTAAACTTCCTTAAAAGAGACTAAGTGTCTCAAACCTTACCAAAATCATTCCGGACTCGATCCGATTAAACCGATACCACAAAATACGGATAACAAAGCATAAAGAAGCAGAAATGGGGGAAATGGAGTGGTAACTCATGAGATGACTGGTCGGATCTTCACATTTATAAATTTGGGAATTTAGACCTCAATTTGGGGTCGTATTCCAAAACTAATTACATATTTGGGATTGTAGGTGAATGGGTGAATGGGTTTTTGTTTGAACCTTGGTTTTGACCAAGCGAGCTCGAGGCCGGTTTTTGACTTTATGGGAAATAGTTTGGGAAAACTAAATTTGTGCATTGTAATTGATTCCCTTAACAATAATTGTTGATATTGAACTAAATTGTAGCTAGATACGAGTGGATTGGAGGTGAAATCTAAAGGAAAAGCGATATTTGAGGCTTGAGTTTGGTCGTAGAATCGAGGTAAGTGTCGTGGTTAACCTTAGCTTGAGAGAGTAGGTGTTGTTGCCTTATTTGCTTCTTGTTTAGTTGTTGAGTACGACATATAGGTCAGGTGGCGAGTATCTATACATTGTTGTTGAGTCATAGCATACAAGTGAGCCTTATACTTGTGACTATTGTTTTCCTTTATACGTACTATTCATGCTTTAACTGGTTAATTCTTCATGTTAAACAAGTTTTATTATGTTTTCCTAGTTTTTGATATTGGTGGAGTGTTGGCTAAAGTTGAGATTTCGGTTGTGAAAAATTGATTGTGATTCCCTTGCTGGGTTGTTATTGTTTCTGTTATTCATATGGTGAGGAAGAGTGATAAAGCACGAAGGGTGAAGTCGTACACATTTATATTATTCATATGGTGAGGAAGAGTGATAAAGAACGAAGGGTGATATCGTGTACATTTATATTATTCATATGGTGAGGAGAAGTGATAAAACACGAAGGGTAATGCCGTGCACGTTTCTATTATTGATTGCATGGTGAGGATTGAGAGTAAAATCACGAAGGGTGATGCCGTGCATTTTCTGTTTGTTGTGTTCATTTGTTGTTATTGGTTCAAGTGTACTTGCTGTTTAGATTCCTTTGCTGCTGTGATTCTGTATGTTGGAACCCTCATAGCATGTTTCCCCTTCCCGTTACTTTTTGCTTAGCTTTTATTACTTGTTGTTCTGTTAGTATATTGTTTAACTGTACATGTTTATGTTGTTTGTCGTGTCCTAGCCTCGTCACTACTTCGCCGAGGTTAGGCTCGGCACTTACTAGTATATGAGGTCAGTTGTACTGATATTGTACTCTGCACATTCTGTGCAGATCTTGGTACTGGACCATACTGATCAGAGTTTGGGGTTAGTTCCTTCAGTCCATAGGAGACCCAAGGTAGATCTGCTGGCGTTCGCAGACCCTGGAGTCCACTTCCCTCTATCTTGGTTCCCGTTTTCTTTCATTCCGAAAAACAGATGTATTTTCCTTTAAACCAGTATTTGTAGAAATTCTTAGACGTTCGTGGATTGTGACACCAGATCATTGGGGTAGTCGTGTTTTCGAGTTTTGAACTGTTATAAACACTACAATATTTTAGGCTTTTGACTACCCCGGAAAAGTGGCCTAAACTAGCAAAAAGTGTGGCCTTTGGTCAAAGGCAATACTTTTTGACTTTAGGCAACGCTTTTTTGGGGGTGGCCAAAAGAAGCGTAACTTTTGACCTAAGGGCACGCTTTTCAAATGTTGCCTTACAAGCGACGCTTAAAAATGTATCCTATTAGTCAACAAAGACAACGCTTGTTACACCCAATATGGCAACACTTTTATACCCTACAGCTACACACATAAAACGTGGCCTTTGTTACCTTTTAGGCCACACTTATTAATCGTGGCTTTTAAAGGAACGCTTAGAAAGCGTGGTCTTTGCTTATATACATGGTAGACGTACCGACATATGTCCACACTTTTAAAGTGTGGCAATTTTTGCTAGGCTAGACAATTTATTTTTTAATTTTAAAAAATTTACATTTTACATATATCATGTAATTACAACTATTTGAAGCACATGCATTATTATCATATGTTTTGATGATATAAAGAACTAAATTAGCTAATAAATACCAAAAATAATAATTCAAATGAATACACATACTCATATAATAATATGTCAAAATCCCCATTAAGAATAAACTTTTCAAAAGTGAGTATATTCATATAGTATCATGAATATTAGACATCTCAATTATCCAAAAGTTCTTCGCATTCACATTAAGATCAAATTAAGTTTCCGCCACCATTTCCAATTGCGTCACCCACTTTCTCCTACACATAAAAAGAAATTTATAATTAGATAGAAATTAAACTTTGATTGTTCGTCAAGAAGAACAAAGACTATGATAACATATAGCACCATGTTTTGCATATTTTTCAGTCACATATAAATAAAAATTGAATAATGAGTACAATAAATAAAATATAGTAGTCCCAATTCACTCACCTAAACACTAACCCCACAAGTATTGGTGCAAAAAGTAATTTAAGAATCAAACAAAACGAATGGACAAGTCAATATTTATCCTTACTAGATTCTTGTAACTTCGATCATTTATGTGTACAAGAGTGGAGGCTAGAATAAAACAAATGGAATCAAGTTTATTCTGAGTAGTTTTGTGGCCATGAACGTTGCTTATATCTCTTTCTTTCATGTAAAAGGAATCAAAGCATGTTAATCTAAACAAAAAATAGAAGCTTGGTGTAAGTTGCTATGATTCCAAGTCCCCACCAAAAAGTTCGTTTTCCAATTTCTCTTTCTTTTGAAGGATTTTACTATTACAATATAGAACAAACAATATTTCTCAAAACTGTGTTCTCACCAACAAAAAACACAGCATAAAACAGTTGCAAATATAAATCCAAACAACCACCAAAATTGTTGCTCAACTCCAGCCAAAAAGCCTACTAAAATGCAGCCTAAACATCCATGAAAACTGGCCACAAAATCTAGCAAAACACCTCTAAACATCAGCTCTAAATCAGCCCCAGAACGACTCCAATATACCAGTGAAAATCAACTCCAAAAACGACCTTTTAACACCCCAAAAACCAACCGAAAAACTCCATAAAAAATAGGGAAAACAACCCCCTTTTTCACACAAAAACAGCAGCTCCAAAAGTTGAGTTCGTCGGCGTCGGAAAATAGTCCCCTTTTTAACATATATGTAGACCCCATATCTTTCCACAACCAATGAATGATCCATAAGACTTTTGAGGTTAATTAAAGAATTGATCAATTTAATGAACTTAATATCTATTATAACAGTTTGCAAGACAAGTTGGAGTCTAAATACCTTTTCAAGAATTGGACCATTGGTTGATCCAGAAGAATGTGGGAGATTTTTGCCACTTACAGCCTGTGCGCTACTTTCATCAACTAGAGAAGTTTGGTTAGATCCGACAAATCCTTGTATATATGAACTAAAAAGTTCAGGATTGTTTTGCACCAATAGATTAAAGCAATGACGCAATTGCCTCAAATATTGCATTTCTTCTCTCATTTTTTGCATTTCTGTTTTCAAAGTAGAGACTTCATTGTTATGCTTTTGTTGGGGCTTATTGATTTCCTCATCTTTTTTAAGAAAACTTGTTGTCACTAATCTATTATAGCATCATATTCGATCAGGCTACTCCTTTCCAAACACTGCCCTAAATGCTTCATCCGATGTTTCCCCTGAGTTTTAATAATTCTGAAGTTCAAGCTGCCAAAAATAATAATTGTGAGAACCATATAAAGAATCTAAGTCCCAAATAATATATTAGTTGAAACATGGCTTACTATTGCAATTTGAGCATCTTCAAGAACTTGCTTCCCTTATTTTGTTTGAGTTGCAATAAACATTTTAGACTTAGATGGTTTCTCATTATTCTCTTTACTTGCAGGCTACAAATTATATCATAGAAATAAATAACAAGCATAAATGTATTCAAAAAAAAGTATATAAGGAAATGAAAGCCATATTTTCACAAAGTATCGAATAAATATTACCAATGCCACGCGTACTCTTGCAAAATTAATAGGTCCCATCCGATGCCTCCACTTTAATTTTTTTCTATTTTTCAGAATTTAATTTGCACATGGTCTAGCACCAAAATAAGTTTACCAATTAATAAATCAAAAATGGAAAAAATATAATGCAACAATATGTTCATGAGTAGAAATGCATAGTATCTCAGTTGAACATCTCAGTCCCTTCCATACTCAATCAATTGGTGGAATTGAACTTTCGGTATCTCAGCGGGACGTTGTTTTAGCATATCTTCAATAGTAGGATACCCATCAAAATGAGTCTTCTTAATATTTCTCGTGTGTCGCCGCCAAGCATCGCGAAGACCATCCATCACCCACTTCTTTCCTTTTGTTGGAATGATGAACTTGGTCCATGAAAAATAACATATATGTTATCTTCGTTTAGTAAGAAATACAATAAGATACACAACTAAAAATTGATCGTTCTTACGTTGACATATTCCCATATTCGTTGTTTAATATCATTAGTGACAGCATGCCAGCCAGTGAACAACAAGGTGATAAATCTGCGATTCCTGGCAATTGTTCCTATAAAGTTGCATAACTCAGACACTATTTTGTCGGTTAGTCCAACAGCTTGTCCTTTATTAAATATCACTTCCTGTCTTTCTTCAAAATTTCTTGCGTGAATCATCTTACATTTCGTTTGACCTCGAACTTCTTCTTTATCTAATATCCCTAATGTAAAAACCAAGACATAAGGAAAAGAATATAATAAACACACAAAATTACTAAGTTTAAGACATACCACCTGTAGCATAATCAACGTCCATAGTTTCGTCTCTAACACACTCATCCTCGCCAACTTCTTCTTATGCACAACCACTGAGCAAAAATGCAGAAACTGTAGAAATACAGCACAGAAATTCAGAAATACTGTGCAGTAAGCAGAAAATGCTGAAACATTGTGCAAAAATGCAGAAATTGCTGGAACACTATGCGAAAATGCAGAACACTTTGCAGAAATTCAAAATTAATGTGCAGAAATGCACAAAACGGAGAAACACTGTATGCGAGTGACTATTATCTCTGACAAGGCTATCCAAAATTAGTTGACGATTGAGTTTACTGGAGGTCGAAGGGTGTTGTTGTTACACATTATGTTACCTCAAAGTATAGTGGATAGCAGTTAAAGCTAGCTACCTTAACTGATTAGGGTAGAAAAACAAAGCTTTGAAGATGCCTCCCTTAGTCATAAAAGAGTAAGATAACCCATTTTCAACTAAGAAGTTATGAGAATTGAGAACAGAACCAATTTTTAGTTATGAGCTGTGAGATTGTCATATTAGCCTATATATGATACTTTGAGTTTCACTACACTTACTTGATAGTATGCATGTCAGTTTAAAAGTTATTTTAACTTCTGCCAATGGCCTTGAATAAGGTTCTACTTGCTAAGACAAAGGACTTATCCCTTTATTTATATTAGAAATTTAATATTTCTATCAAGTGATTGCAACTTATAACATATCAAAATCATTACTAAAGAAACATTATTTTGCACCCCAAGAAAACTCAAATATTAACTCTCAAACGAGAATTCTGGTCAAGTGATTTGCGTGTGACTAATAAGAGGAGTTGATACAGAGTATCGAGACGACATAATAAGCATAAAACTGCAAATAACATAAGAAATTCAGCGTCAAGCTATTGTCCAAACATTTTCAACCGTGTTAACAAAGTAATTCAAACATATGTAGTTTGATTACAAGATAAAAACCTAAGAATTGAGAAAGAAGAATGATTCATAAACAAATATGCTTATGAATATTAATTAGGAGTTCAATACCGAGATATAAAAAGTTTAATATCTAGAAATCAAGTGCTAAATAGAGCTTAACAGCATAAATCAAAAGCTATATAACTAATACCAAATTTAAATCCGGAATAGAATATTCGTATCCTTCAAACCAAACAATCCTTAAAACTTTAATATTCCTAAAGAAAAGTAATTTTCTCAGTAGATTAAAAAATTATTTGGTATAATCTTTGTTATCTAGTCCTTGTAGGCTTAGCCATTATGCCCAATACCATGCCACGTTTAAGGCTAATTAAATCTGCTCAGAGATAATTATGAGTACCTTAAATATTGTAGGTTAACTAAATTGTCTAAGTATAAGGCTAATTAAATTATCTGATAGCTAGACAAACCTCACACATTGTAGGTTTAGTCATTTAAAGGGAATCAATCACTTGCATCCTAAAATTTTCTCTAAGAAGAAAGGCGTGTGAAAATAGAAAACATAGTTTTTTGAATTACGGAATGAAGAGAAGAGTATCTGCCTTAACTACCTCTTTACATTTAGTGACAACATAAGCGCTTTATCTACTGAGACATCAGCACCATGGCAAAATATCATATGAAAAAAATATAGTACATGACTCTAATAGTTGGCAACGGTGGAAAAGAAGAAAAAGGAACAGAGAAAACAAAAACACATGAATAACCAATTAGAGAATATGAGTCAAACTTGGTTTTGCTCTATTTATCATTATTTCCTACTTATCAATGCAGAACTTCACTGAAACAGATCCAAAAAATTATCCATAATTTCCAACATATTATTTATCATTTCTGATTATTTGGTGACGATGATATACAAGTAGTCAATCTCTTTATCATAACCAATGACTTGACATAAATAGAGTCTTCAATAGAATTTTCCAGTTGGAAACTAAGGAAAGCTTTAATAGTTGATATTCTTCTTATATCCTACTTTCACTTAATAGAGGCGGATGTAGTGTTACACTAGAGGGTTCAATTAAGCTCATAATTTTCAACGCGGAGTAAAAATTTATATATAAAAATTTATTAAAATTGCAAAAATAATAGATATGAACCCATAACATTAAAAATATAATGAGTTCAATGCTTAAAAACTTCAAAATTGAACCCATATGAAATAAATCTACATGAAATAAATTTAATGTTACCTTTTGAAGAAACCGCAGAGAGAAGCGAATAACCGTACAACTTGGTAGAATCGATAAATATATATATATGTTTCTGTAAGGTGTAAAAAATTCAGATTTTGTTAAAGTTATGAGAAGGTACAGAACCCTAAAGTGGAGATCCTACATAGGAGGGAATTCTTTTACCTTTTTGGAGTTGGAGGGAAATACTTTAGTAAAAGCGGGCAATATATGGAGGGAATACTTTTTTTGCTGAAAATTTTGTGGATAACTTTAGAGTACACTTATAAAGTGTTGCTTTTAATATTACACAAATGGCATGCTTGAAAGAGTAGCCATAAATATAAATAAGTGTCGTTAATTGTTTTAAGATTTGATTACATTTGCAAAGCGTAGTCTATACTTACTAAGGGCACACTTTAGGGGTGTTGTTAAATATTTCGTAGCCAAAAGTCGTAAACAAAGGTCACCCTTAAAAAGCGTGGCCATAGATAGTTTTAGCCACGTTTTTCAACCGTGGGATAAAATTAGTATAGTCTTAGGCCAAATTTGTTGTAGTAAAAATTTTTGCACTTCGTATCTGTTTAGCTTTAATTATTATTTATTACTATTTTTTGTTAATGATTAATGTGTTAAAATCATATCTGTTGGCTGGCCTAGCATTCAAGAGTTAGGCGCCATCACGATCTCGGCGGTGGAAAATCCGGGTCGTGGCAAATTCTCCCAAAAATGATCATATGCAAGAATTCATGGATAATATGGTTACCCATATTATTCGCCGGTTAACCCGTTTTTAATCTGTATTAAATATGGATTGGGTTGGATAATTGATATATTTTTCATTACCGTTTTTTACCCGAACCATATCCGACCTGACCCACCCATTTGCCACTCCTACACATTACCATATTTTTTCACACACCAAACACAAGGAAGAAACACTACTATTTATAGGTATAGAATATCTTTCAAGAAATAAATAATAACGTAGTGGGATAAGAAAATTGTAGAATATGATTGATGGTTACAAAACTTAATCTTTAGTGGGTAATTAATGGTAGATCATGACATTAGTGGTTTCATGAGTTACACCAAAATAATGATCACTTTCTTGCCAATTTATAACCATTATTTTACAAGAAATAATGCACCTTAATATTAAAATGCACTAACACCAACAGTGCTTTAGGGCCGTTGTTGATCATGTCCACTATTTGTAGGGAACATAACCCATATATACTATATTACTATAAAAGCACAAATAATACACGTTAAATGTTTAACGACAAAAAAATATTCCCGAAATATTGACAGATTTTTTACCCTTCATATTTAAATTATGTCTTCAATAATAATGTCCAAAAAATGTAAAAACAATTCATTAGTTGTACAATTCAAGTATTTGTAAACTAAAGTACTAAACTAACGGGCCTATTTGTATTAGGACTCCAATGCCAAAGCCACGGCTTAAATGTTTGTTTATAGAAAGATTTTGCCTAAAATTTAAAAGAAATTGCCTTTTAGCTTACTCACATTTTACATTAGTGTTGGCAAAAAGGAGTTACTTCAGTTTTTCTTTTTCTGATAACCAGTAGCAATGGATTTTGTTCTAATCTGTCGAATTAACTGAAAACAAGAAATAATTAGGCTTACAGTAGGATAAAGGAAGTTGATGAAAATCAGGAAGATAAAAAGTGGATCATTTGACGCCATCTATTGTTTGTTCGCTGAGAGATAAACGTTTATATGTTAAATAGAGGATTGGAGAGATTAGATAATTAGTAACTTATAATTGTGAAGCTCCAAAAGAAAAGTATGCAGCAAGGGTACTTTCTTAAGAGTTATGAGATATTTGGGTGAAAAGTTCTAATGTTTACACACACAAAACAAATTGTAAACATGAGTAGGGAGTTGTATGGACATCATAGTTCTTTTGGTTTTATCCGATAAGAGACATCGGTTTATAGTATTAGAAACTAAAGCAAGTCTTTCAATATTACACTTAAAATTCTCCTTGAGTTATTCTAGAATAGAGTCAATGTTCATAACAAATTTTAATGAATAGCAGTAACTTTTCTTGCTTTTTATTAGTCTATTTTAAAGATCAAACAAATGTATTCATAATATGAATGTGTAACGACCCGGCCGGTCGTTTCATGAGTTACCGTTCCATTTTCCCTATTTTTGCTTCTTATTGCCTTGCTCAGCTGTATTTTGTATTACCGGGTTGGTTGGTTCGGGTTCGGAGAGGTTTTGGTAAGGTTTGAGATACTTAGTCTCTTTTGAGAAAGCTTAAGTTGAAAAAGTCAACCGAATATTGAATCATGTGTTAAAGGGCTCGGATGTGAGTTTCGATGGTTCGGATAGCTTCGGGAGGTGACTTGGGACTTAGGAGCGTGATCGGAATGTGTTTTGGAGGTCCGGAGTGGGTTTAGACTTGAATTGGCGAAATTGGAATTTTGGCGTTTTCCGGTTGATAGGTGAGACTTTGATATAAGGGTCGGAATGGAATTTCGGAAGTTGCAGTAGGTCCGTTGTGTCATTTGGGATGTGTGTGCAAAATTTCAGGTCATTCGGACACGGTTTGATAGACTTTTTCATCGAAAGCGGAATTTAGAAGATTTTGGAATTCTTAGGCTTGAATCCGATGCGAATTTGGTGTTTTGATATTTAATTGAGCATTCTGAAGGTTGAAGCAAGTTTGAATGATGTTAACGGATATGTTGTCATGTTTGGTTGAGGTCCCGGGGGCCTCGGGTGAGTTTCGGGTGGTTAAACGGACCATTTCATGTTGTGAAAGATTGCAGAAATCTGTTGTCGGGTATTGCAGACAATTGGCCTTCGCGTTTGCGAGTAGACCCTCGCGTTCGCGAAGGGTTAGCAGGTGAGGCTGAAGATTTAGCCTTCGCATTCGCGAGGGAGGTTCCACGTTCGTGAAGGGCTGGGTCGTTGAGCTATGCGTTCGCGAGAAGGGAGCCACGTTCGCGATGGTTTGAGCTGTGGAGTCATCGTGTTCGCGAGGGAGTGGTCGCGTTCGCGTAAGAGGAAAATGTGCTCAACGTCAGGTTGTGCTTCGCGAACGCGAGGCTTTGACCGCGTTCGCGAAGAAGATTTTGAATGTCTGGGCAAAATGTTTAAATAGCCATTGTCCGCGATTTTGGGGCTAACTTTCACCATTTTTGGGCAATTTTGAAGCTTTTTGAAGAAGGATTCAAAGGGGAACACATGGAGGTAAGATTTATTTTACTTAATACTCGATCCTAATGTGTTTTCTACCTAATTAATCATGAAATTTAAGCCTAATATTGAAGAATTAGGGCTTGTAATTGGAGACCTAGAATTTGGGATTTGAGGGGTCGTTTGTGGTTGGATTTTGATCCTTTTGATATGAATGAACTCGGGGAGTGATAAGGAGTCTATTAATGTAATTTTTATCGGAATTCGAGACATGGGCCCGGGGGTCGGGTTTGGTCAATTTCGGGATTTGTGTTGTAATTTGATTTCTTTCGAGTGGGTTTTGTTCCCTTAGCATATTTTGATGATTTTGCACTGATTTTTGATTAGATTTGGAGCCTCTGGAGGTCGATTCGAGAGGCAAAGTCATCGCGGGCTATGTCTATTCCGCAAATTGTAGTATTCATCTTTTTTTAAGATTATTATTATGTTAAAGACATAATTTGTATTGTTTTAATTGCTTAGAAATGAATTGGGAGTGTGTCGGCTGGCCTTGTCTCCACAAGAGGCGTCATCACGATCGGATCTAGGTTTAGGGTCGTGACAGAATGAGAGTATAAAATTACATGTATCATTTTTTTCCCACAAAGATGACTGTTGACACAGAATATATGCAACGCAAGTTCCCATTGACGATACTATTGCATTTTTCCCCATATTAAAGGCTTTATTCAGTATTCTTGTACATAATTTTCCCGTAAATTTAATTTATTGTTCCTTCATAAAAATTATAGACTAAAGGTTTACGTGCAACACACCTACATAGAAGCTAGTACTATATTAAAAGCACGAATGCCTTTAGCGAAATGTCATTTGCCTTTTTTACCCTTTGAAAATAGAGTTCATATTAGGCAAAATAGTCATTTAACTATTTTTCCTAATATTTAGGGATAGTGATTTAATTATTTTTCTAATATTTTAAAATACATATTTAATTATTTTTCTAATATTTAGGACTTAGAAATTAATTAAGTTATGTATTAAATAACAATTTAACTGATTAATTCTAGATAATTTAGGTAAAGTTTCGAGCCTTTCAAATATTTTCAGGACTCTCCAAATTACTAAACAATTAGAAACTAATGTTAGTGTTTCAATTCACGAATAATTTCCTTATTCAATAAAAGGTCCTTTTGTTTGTATCTATATTCTGAAGAAAGTCATGAGAATGATATCGGAAATTATGTTTTTTGTTTGAATTTTAAGTGAGAGTTTATGGTTTCGTGTGGATTTATGATTCTTTTGTTCGATGCTGTGATGACCCAATAGGTCATCACTTGTGTTGCAAGTGCATTCAGTGTTTCAAGGCCTAAAAACCTCCCTTTTTTCCCACCTTGATTTGCGTGCGTGGTCCGAACCTATATCCGGAAAGCCTTCCATGTGAAAATAAGAGAAATAGAAATTCTAGAGTTAAAAATTTGATTATGGTTAACTTTGGTCAATATTTTGAGCAAACAGAACCGGATCCGTGTTCTGATGATCCCGGGAGGTCCGCAGTAAAATGTGGGACTTGGGCGTATGCCCAGAAATGAATTCCGAGGTCCCAAGCCTTAGAAATTAATTTTTGAAAGAAATTGTTTTACTGAATTATCTAAGAAATAAAGAAAATAATTAATGTTTGAAACCATTGTTATAGTATTTGAAATATAATTGTGAAATTTGGTGAAAACGGAGTTTATTTGACGTGAGTTAGACTTCTGGTTGAAGAGTTATGAACTTTGAGAGTTCTTGATGGAAATGTTGAATTTTGAGGTTTAATTCATAATTTTACATGTTATTTTGATGATGTGATCACACGAGTAGGTCCATATGATGTTTTTGAGTTAGTATGAACACTTGGTTTGGAGTTCCGAAGGCTCGGGTACATTTCGAGTAGGTTCCGGGATGTCGTAGGCTTAAAAACATAGTTGTTGCAGGTTCAGAGAGGTGGAAGGCCTCTGAACAGACCAGCGCGGTCCGCACAAAGCGGAATGCTG